CTTTCGGAAATATTATCACCATGAGAGCAATCTGGGCAACAATCAATAAAACCATGAGAATGATGTACTGAAAACAGAATGACAAAACCAGAATAAGAACATATCAATCCCTTAAAGATCGACCTTTGGAATGTCGATTTGTCTATAAAACAGCGTGAGGTCAAGCTCGGTTTAAAATCCCTTTTTGGTTATATTTTTTAGTGGTTATGGTGGCAAAGAAGCAAATACTGGTCTGGACGGACTATTGATGACTAAGTTCGGTTGGAAACATGAGATCCTGCAGTAAGATGAGAACAAATAAGCTGAAGTATATATATCTAATTCAATCAGATTGGTCAAAACACTTACCACGATCAGAACGCATTTCACCTTACAACATGCCCCGATAATACCCAGTAAAGCCATAATAAAGAAAAAGGCACCCAAACCAATGAGAATATAGGCGAATAGTTGTATTATGCTTAACAATCGATCGGCTGTAAACGTGACATCAGGTGCTTGTCCGGATATACTGCCTTCAAATGCACTGGTAGCTGCTGCGAGTACATAATCTAATGCTGGTGTATAGGCAAATACTAAAATACCCAATAATAGCAACACAAAACCAATAATCTGCAAGAATATAAGAATAATAATAATGATAATGATAATGATGATTTTAATAATAACAATGATTTTGATAAAAAAAGTAATAATGATTTGTAGATGATGATGATAAAAATAATGATTATAATGATAATAATAGCGATGATGATAATGATCAGAATAATAATGACAATGGTAATGATAATGATAATAACAATGACAATAATGATAATGATAACGATTATAATGATAACGATTATAATGATTATAATGATAACGATTATAATGATAACGATTATAATGATGACGATTATAATGATTATAATGATAACGATTATAATGATAACGATTATAATGATTATAATGATAATGATAATAATGATTATAATGATAACGATTATAATGATGACGATTATAATGATTATAATGATAACGATTATAATGATTATAATGATAACGATTATAATGATTATAATGATAACGATTATAATGATTATAATGATAATGATAATAATGATTATAATGATAACGATTATAATGATAACGATTATAATGATTATAATGATAACGATTATAATGATTATAATGATAACGATTATAATGATTATAATGATAACGATTCTAATGATAACGATGATAATGTACCGTAAGAAGACTAAGAGAAGCTATGGGGCATGAGGAATTCTTAAAGTTTAGTACGAGGAATCTCATTCTCGAT